GTTCTTTTATTACTATTTAGTTCTAAAAATAAGCTATGATGGAAAGCTGTTTCTTTTTATATAATCTCATCTATATATGCCTATATAAATACAAAATAATTATCACTGATCAATTTTTAAAAAATTATCAGGAAAAGTATTTTTAACTGTTCAGGTTTTAATTAAAATCTTCTAATTGCCATTTTTGGAAAAACAGAGACATAGTCTTCAACATAATTAATATAATCAACAGGAATTCCAAAAGGCTCAGGAAATAATTATTTTACTCTGCTATGTTTTCCTCTCTAGGCTAAAGCAAGCTGAGAGGTGAATAATTAGTAAGTATATTAAAGTCATAATAAGGAGAATCTTTATGAGTCGAAGAAGGGGATAGTGAACAAATTGAAAAAATCTCCAGACATGTATATAGATAAATTTTGCAAAGTTTGTCTAAGGCCACTGTATACAGTAGACGTTAGTACAAACATTTTTTTAACATGAAAAGTTCTGTAATAATTATAATCACTTTATTGTTTATAGAAAAACAGTAAAAAGGAAGGGTGTTTTTTTAGTATATATGTGTGTGTATGTGCTCATAAGAAAAAAAATGACTTTTTTCACTAGAAAAAACAATTCAGCCACTTTGAGACTCAAGCATGAATGAAAATGGTGATTGGTGAATATCCGTGTAAAAAAAAGTCTGTTTCAAATACATACTGTAGCTTAAACATAAGTCTATTAATATTTACATATAGCAAAGGAAATTATATACATCTAAGTGTATGATTGAGTTGATTTTATGATGAAAATCAAATAAGTGCTAAAGGATACAGAGGACATGAGCAGTTCTACATGTGAGATAGTCCAGTATTTTGTACTGTCAAGGGTGTACTTTAGGAAAAAAACGATCAATAGAAAAAAGAATTGAAAGAAACAAAAGTGAAAGTAAAATGGTTAGCTAGCTCATCTCCATCAAACTGGAGATCACCTGATAGCCTACTTTTCACTTCTACTGTTCCTTGTAGAAGAATGAAGATTAGAATAATTAAATAGCAATAGCACTTAAACTTATATACACAGTGCTTTACAGCCCTCTCTAAGTGGTTTACAGAATCAGCATATTGCCCCCAACAATCTGTGTCCTCATTTTTACCACCCTCATAAGGATAAAAGGCTGAGTCAACCTTGAGCTGGTGAGATTCAAACTGCCAAATTGCAGGCAGCTGGCTGTCAGCAGAAGTAGCCTGCAGTGCTGCATTCTAACCACTGCACCATCTCTTAAATGCCATTCCCTTGGGACTGTACCCACTGTATTGTTTCCAGTAGCTCTGGAAAGTTCTGTAAATTTGCTTTCTTTCTCTGCTTTTGCTTGTCTTTTGACCTGTTTTCTGTCAGTTTATTTTTCTTACAAAAGTTTGCTAATATTTAATAATCAACATTAGGCTATATTAATTAGTTGAAAGGAATGATGTGTGTGCTTGATCTGATCAAGATGTCAGCTTTGGAAGCTATAGTAGCACTAGAAGCTTCCAGGCTGCCACATTCTTGTGCTTGGGAAATTGGGACGGGAGATTTCATGGAGCGTAAGTGGGTAGACATAATAGCATTTTTCTTTACATTCAAGGTCATGTTATTCCTGCACCTGGTTGAGGAGTGGTTGAAGAGATGTCTCAAGTTGGAACAGGTGGTGATTGGGCCATGTGATGGAGTGATGGGTGCAGGGGATGGATTTTGTATTTTTAATTACTGAGGGAAAACCCGGAACTCTCAGATTCAGGTTTTCCCAGATGTGCCAGTATGACAACTCTAATAAAATGGAGCTTTGAGAAAATGCCTGTCTCAGAGTTTGGAGTTTGGTTTTTCTGGAATGCTGACACAGGGTTTTGGTATTAATTGGGAGTGTGTTGGGTACAAACTAACAAACCCAAAACCATTTTCCAATAGAATAACTAAAGAAAGAGAAAATATGAGTCCCAGGTAGAAAAAGAATTAGGGAATTGATTGATCTCCCAACATAATGAGTAGAAGATAAACAGAATGGAAAAAGTGAAAAGAAGTATTGCAGAGGATATGAAAAAAGTTCTATGGTAGAATAATGAAGTCAAAGGAGCACGAGATGAGAAAAATGCATGTAAGAGAATGATTGTGGTTAAACATGTATGTCACCTATTCACAAACTCTACGTAGTTGGTAGCTATAAAAACAAAATAGCAATAATGTGTATATAGGAAAAAGATAGTTGAAAAATTGAAGTCAAAGAGAACAAGTCATGGTTAAGTTTAAAACACTTAAAATGAGCATTAATTAATCTATTATTATGCTGCTTTAAACTATTTTTTAATTTTTCAAGAGATGACTTTAGCAGAATAGATGGAATAAAAATTCAAGCAATGAATTGAAGAAGTTCTAAAAATGATGAAATTTTTTACCAGAATTATAGTGATAATTTTGAGGAATGAAACTGAAATAAACGCTATAAAATTAAGCACAGAGAAATAAGCATTTATGCTTCACTGCTGGAGGCCACTATTGTGCACTATATATTTATTATCGTTTTGTTTCAGGAAACATAAGGGTTTGTTCACTATAGCTATATAACTATAGTTTCTGGTATTTAACTTGTAGTGTAGCTGAAATTAATAAAATAAGGATGAAATCATAACCTAAATAAATTTAAGTCATAAAATAGGAGAAGGGAAACATAGCTAGAACTAGTTTACAACAATACCACAATTTTTTTTTGCAAACCATTCTTGCCTGCAGTACATATATTGATTTTTATTCTTTAAAAAAGTTTAGTTAAAATTTCATGGATATCACTTAACCCCAACCTTTTCAGTGTTTGTTTCTTCTTGACTCGTTAATTCATTTCATCTATATTTGTTTTTTAGTGCTATCTTCATTTATTTTCTCTATATAGCAAAGCAACTCAATATATTTCTTCCATGCCAGTCACTCCCTTTGATATCTAATCCACATTCACTCAGCCCAGAGGTGGGATTCAAATTTTTTTACTACCGGTTCTGTGGACGTGGTTTGGTGGGCGTGGCAGGGGAAGAATACTGTAAAATCTCCAGTCAAAGGTGGTATTTGCCGGTTCTCCAAACTACTCAAAAATTCCACTACAGGTTCTCCAGAACTGGTCAGAACCTGCTGAATACTACCTCTGACTCAGCCCATTTTTATTCCTAATTTTACATTTTCTTGTTTTATTATGCAGACTTCTTAGGTGTCCTATGTCCACTGCTTGTTAAGACCATGTTAAGATCATGCCCATGGTCAAATATTATGGATGAGGCTATATATTTCAATTCAGCTAGCAAGCCCTAGAACAACCCATCTGGTATACTACTTAAATTGTCCCAGGGAGATCCACGTTCAAATCCACCTTCAGCTAGAGAAGCTCCGTAGGTGCCTTTGTATCAGTCACTCTTCTCAATCCAATCTACTTAACATGATTGTTGCTGTGAGGAAATTAGGAAGTGGGAATACTATATACACTGCCATGAGCCTCTATAGCCGTGGTGGCAAACTTATGGCACACGTGCCACAGGTGGCACGCAGAGACATTTGTGCCGGCACGCAAGCTGCAGGCAAACTTACCTCACTGCACATATGCATGCCTCACAGCTGATTTTTGGCAGGTTTGAGGCCTTTTTCGGCCTCCCAAAGGCTTGAGAAAGGCTTCTGCAGGCTTCTGCAGGCTTTGCAGGCCAAAAACTAGCCCCATTTCGTCACTCCTGTTTTCCCGAAAATACTGGAAATGACAAAAGGGGGCTAGTTTTCAGGCTGCAAAGCCTGCAGAAGCCTTCAGAAGCCTTCCTCAAGCCTTTGGGAGGCTAAAAAAGGCCTCAAAACCACCCAAAATCAGCTGTGAGGCCCAGTGCAGGTAAAGGGGTGGGTGGGGATTGCGTGCGCATGTGTAGGGGGCGTGGGGGGGCGCATTGCCTTCTAGGTGCTGGCATGCGAGTGTGAGCATGCAAGCGTGCGCACAATTTTTGGCACAGGAGCCCAAAAAGGTTAGCCACCACTGCTCTATAGAATAGGAAGAATAAAATTGTAATATATATACATTTAATACATTAGCCTCTGACTGATACAATGTAAACAGTAATAGCAAACTCTGGAAACATGTTAGATCCTGGTTTTATGCAGAGATTTCTCTTGCTGAATTAAAGCGCTGATGATGATTACCTAGCCTGGCTAAGGAAACATCTGCAAGAAAACAACCAAGCTCAGAGAACATCAAGGACCCCTCATGTCAACCCTAAGGTACAAATATTCTCCTTTATTGAATTAAAGGAATGATGGACAAGATTAATAAGAATGAACAAAACTCTGTCCAATATTATTCAACATATCTCCAGAGACATAGCAATAGCAATAGCACTTAGACTTATATCTCCAGAGACATAGCAATAGCAATAGCACTTAGACTTATATACTGCTTAATAGTGCTTTACAGCCCTCTCTAAGTGGTTTATAGGGTCAGCATATTGGTCCCAACAATCTGGGTCTTCCTTTTTCTGACCTCAGAAGAATGGAAGGCTGAGTCAACCTTGAACTGATATAGAATTGAGCTGCCAAACTGCTGGCAGCCGGCAGTCAGCAGAAATAGCATGCAGTACTGCATTCTAACCACTGCGCTACCACAGCTTCTTTGGCCATTGGGAAAAGAGTTACTGCGCATTTCTAAACCAGTCTCTTAAAATAGAGATATAAATATATGTGGGCACGAAGTTTCCATAATTTGCCTTAAACAGTAACAGCATTGCATATAAATTATCATATTATATTCTGATCAAGATGGATAGCTAATTGTTTCATTTAATCCTCCTCATTGTTGCAAAACAAAATAGGTTTTTTGAAAAATATTTCAGAGATTCGCTTTTTTTTTTAAGGAGGTAAATGAGAAGGTAGAGTTACTCGCTAAATTCATATAACAATGATTTTAATTTGTATACATTTGTACATGCATTTACATGTACTGTATATGAAATAAAGAAACACTATGTTCTTACTGTTTTCTTATCACAAATGCAGAATCAAGTCCAAGAACAGAGAGGGCCTTGTTTTTGTCTGGCTCGCCATTTCTCAAAACCTTCAGTCTCAAAGGCATGTTGATCTCTGGCTTCCTACCAGCCGGCTTCTTTAGTGGAGGGCTGTTTGGAATCAGCAGACCTTCAATGGGCCAGTCAAAAGCCTTTCAACACAAAAATAAATATTGAGGTATTGTAAGGCCATGTATTATAACAATGTTAATAATTCAACTTCTTGGAGACAAAGAGCTCCACACATGGAATTAGAATATGGGTTGAGAGGGCCAAAATAGCAAAAGTAACAATGCCAGCAAATACAGTACACCAAATCTGCAGATAGGACTCGGCCATGAATAATTAAAAGTTCAAACATTTCATAGTTCTTTTAAAATTCACAGACAGTTGAACAGTTACATAGATTACTATCTGCCTAGGAGAGATACTGTGAGCCAAAATATTATCATGGTTCCTCACATGTACATTTGAAAGCAACAGATGAAACTACTGAATCCTATATCCTCAGTGCTTGAATGGTTAGAGAAAAGAAAACCAAAAGCATTAAACAACTTCAGACATATAAGATCTTTTTTCTCCAAAACTAATCAATAGAAGTTACTAAGTTTATGAAAAGCTTTGAAGAAATGCTTTGCTTCAGTAATGTTTCTGGTGAGGCAACATGCCCCTTTCTGACAGGAAAGTGAAGCTGCCGTGTTGTGTTATATATAGAGGAGAAACCCCTTTCTGGATATTGGAACAGCTAGCTGAGGCTTTTACAACAGGAAGAACTTCACTGAGGCAAATCTTGCTTCCTCCTTATCTTTATCAGGAGAATGATACTGTCTTCACAAATGAGATAAAGCTAAATCCAGGTCACCTGGGAAAATGGAATTTAATTCTGTGCATGACACGCTGACTAAATATGCCAAAATTGATCAAAGTTTCTCTTAATGTTACAGTAGTAGGGAATCCTGCATGTAACATAGGATTAGTAGGGAATCCTGCATGTAGCATAGGTATAACTAAGAATGACAAATCAATATATTGCTGTAAAACAGTATATCAAAGTCTGATTGAACAAAGTGTTGCTTTTGACAGGGGTCAATACCTATGGGCCCTTCTGGTGTGGATCATAACAAATGAAAGATTTTGACTTGGAATGTAAAAGGATTAAATGGTAAAGAGCCAGAATTAACTAATGGAAAAAAAATTAGAAATGTATGTTTGTGAAATTAAGACAATAGGGGAGAATTTAATAGATATGAATAAACATAATCTAATATTGTGGAGTAGAGATTATGAAAACATTCATAGGGAATGAAGGCATAGCTTTAACTATCCCAGTGATTCAATTTTTTTTACTACTGGTTCTGTGGGCGTGGCTTGCTAGGGGTATCAGGGGAAGGATACTGCAAAATCCCCATTCCCTCTCCACTCCACTAACCTGCTTTCGAGCTCCGTTGTCCTGTGCAGGGCAACAAAAGAAGACCCAGCAGATCAGCTGAGAGGCTGGGAGCAGGGGTGGGATTCAAATTTTTTAACAACTGGTTCTGTGGTTGTGGCTTAGTTGGTGGGCATGGCTTGGTGGTCATGTGACTGTCTGGGTGTGGCCAACTCAACATCACTCATATCGAGGTATCATCTTCTCGTCTGGCCTCTCATGACTGTGGGGATGCAGCAACAGTCGTAAGTGTGAAAAACGGTCATAAATCACTTTTTTCAGTGCCATTGTAACTTTGAATGGTCACGCCACACAAGCAAAGTACCAGCAAAGGAGGGGAAAAAAACTCCAGAGAAGTTCCAGAGACAGGAAGTCTAGTCCTGCCAAGAATGTAATAAGGGTTAACAGAGAGGCAGCTTCTGTAAGCAACACCAGAATGTTTCCTTCCTGCCTTCCTTACAGGATTAGGCCAGTAATTTCTTCTAACAACCAGTTCTCTGAACTGCTTAGAATGTTAACAACTGGTTCTAATGAATAGGTGCGAACCTGTAGAATCCCATCCTGGCTGGTAGGCAACGAATAGATCAATTGGGTTCCCCAGCCTTACAGGTTAGGCATCCCTGCACTTACCTGGGAGCCAAATCAGTGCGCATGGGACTCCTGGAAGGGGCAGGAGCAGGTGGGCGGGGCCAATCAGAGGTGGTATTTGCCAGTTCTTCAAACTGATCATAATTTCCACTACTGGTCCACGAGAACTGGTCCAAACTGGCTGAATACCACCTCTGTATGAATGAAATAATTGATTTCTGTGTCATAAAATATGAATTGGTGTCATCTAGATTGCTTTTTGTGAGTACAAATAATGAAAGACCATTGTTGTATTTTGATGGACAGCAATTTATATTAACCACATGGAACAATTTTTTTACATTGCATATGATGATGATTTACTTTATTTATATTTCATACTTTTAAAACATCTTCTCATTGCCTATATGGTTAGGGTTAGTGTCTATGTATGTATCTACTTATTTTAAATATCTTGGATAAATATGTAGGGATTACATGCGCATGCACGTTTGTCTATTTGCCTACCCTCCTCCACCCAAGAAATTACCTGGTTTAATTCTCCATTTGGAAGTACAGGCCACATATAGGTCAACTTATTCCATAAAGGATTATCCACTTTTGATTGTTTCCATTGACCAGGCTTATTTGTTCCTTCATGTTTAATTGCCCATCTGAAAGAGAAAGGTCTATTTTCGTATGAGAAGGTTCACTTGTTTTTTTAACTAATATGTTTCTGGTTGGCAGTAACTTGGGAAGCTAAATTATCTTCCCTTTGGCAAATAGTTATTTTAAAAAACTTCTCAAATACTGTACATATGCATATTTGTGCACCGTTTATCTGCTTCTTCCCCCTTGCTGGCTTTCAGTTCATTATTCCTGCTCTGTGAATTTAATTTCAACTTATATAAATGTAATTTTCATGTATCTCTTCTTAACATTTTCTATATATTTGGATTGTTCTTTTCCAACATTTTATTGTTTAAATGGCTTGTGCATATGTTATAATACAGTGTAATGAAGTATAGGCCAATTGAACTTAATAAAGAAAATAAGCTATAGACAAACTATATGAAGTCATGCATGATATGCATCTTATAACAAAGGAACTAACTGCATATAAAACTTCAAAAAAATTTTTTTAAAGAATATGGCCTATTTGACAATGCAATACAATACAAACACAATATAACATAGAATATTGCATCTTTTTTATTATATGCAATCATACACAACATGCAAAAATATAGACAAAATATGCACAAAAAATATACACAGCAAGATACTAAATGTAAACAGGGAAACTGTTTATATAAATTATTGATACAAGAAAGAGATGACATTTAGTTTCTTAACTACTAACATATTCCTATTCTGGAATAGTCATTCTATTTACTGCCCATTTAACAAGAACAAGGAAATTAATTTATCTAGAGCACTGGAAATCAATACTCTTACAATTATATTATCTTAAATCAGCTTAATTCACATCACTTGGATTCCTGTTCAGTTCTCTATAATTTCCTTTTAGAAACTGATAATACCAAATGATTTTTTAAAAATATTTTTTTTCTAAAAATATAGACATCAGTGAATGGGGTAATGAGATAGATAAGCTACAGGCATTCTAACAATATTTCCTGATGCATTCAGTCTATCTAAAAGGTGCCTACTTTAGTTTAATCTTCTTTTAAATATATTTTTTTTCTTTTTTCAGAAATTTGCAAATCCTATTTGAGAGAAAAAGTTTGATTGCTATTCACTTGAGCAAGAGGCAGTTTGGGATCCAGTTGCATATGTGAAGCCTGTCAAGATTCTGCCAGGTCTTGTGCATTATTGGTAATGAAAATCTGCAGTGTACACCACATGGTTTTCCCTGAAAGTGCTATTAAGCTGCCAGGTTTCAACCACAGTATGATTTTTAACAACCAAGTTCAAGCCTTCTGAAAACTGTGTTTTATAAATGAAAAGCTGACAATCTCTGAACTGCATTGGCACTAATAGGTAGCAAAATAATGACTGTATAAGTGCCTAAATGCATTCTGCCCTTACAGCATTTCACTGGGGATGGGGGGGAGGGCTGCCTCAGCTTTCAATACTATATCTCTGATTTAAATTACAATATTTCTCATTTGCAGCCACTAGGTGGAAACAGTGGTTCATGGAAGCTGAGTTGAGAACCATGTATTTTCAAAGCTTAACATTTAATCCTAACTACTTTATTTCATTTTCTTTTTATTGCAGGCAGTTTCTAATACAATTGCTTTTACCTTTATGGCATTCAAAGATGTAATGTAGATTTTATAATGTCCCCAACAGCTATCAAATCTCTGTTTTTCAAGAATACATGCAAAGTTCAATACTAGGCTAAAAACAATTATGATAGACTTTCTAACTCCATAATCAATGGGTATGATTTAAATCCTTTCTTTCTTTTTTTAAAAAAAGCAAAGGACAGATTGAAACCAAGTACATCAATTTTTATTAGTAGGAAGTATGTTCAGTCTTGCCATTTACACATGAAACCAAATCTGAGTCAGACCAAACAATAGGTCCAATGGAAAAAAGCAAAGGGAAGCACTACAGTTTGAGCAGTAGTCAAGCAGGCTCACTTAATGTACACCAAGGTTTCAGATGAAGCCAACATGTATTTCTTGAGATTTTTACCACTTTGTATAAACTTGGGGAAAAAACTAACAGTGCCCATCTTTGCACATTTACTCAGAAATACACACCACACACAGTGTACAATGCATGTTTTTCTCATCGTTAATGAATTCTACCACATGCAGGGAATATCTTGAATCTGCTGCAAACTGCATGCCTGACCATAGCATGACACCTGTAAAAAAAACATCACTAGCAGGCTGTAAAAAAAGTCCAATTCCCATTTTTTTGATAGAGAAACGCCTTGTTTTTTTATTTTTGCAAACTTTCCTAATATAGTTGCTTCCGCACCCCACCACCCCAAGGTTTTCCAAACTCTCCACTAAGAGATGAACAAAAGTGTACAACAAGTCTATGTGTACAAGGTAGTTTAGTTTTGTTTGCTAATTACAGAGCTGTGTTTCCACTCCTGTTCCATTTCAGCTACCCTCTGATTCTAGGAAGTGAGATCAGTTGAAGTACAGGAGATTAAATTAGCTTTTACAATGCCTTGGGCTTGCACTGCAGATCAAATGGGTTGAAGTGTATCAGGACTCAGTGCTTTATGGCAATATGAACAATTGTACAAGACAAATGGGATTCATTATAAAGCTAGATACAAGAATTTCAGTAGGGCTGGTCCATTCCTTAACATGATATTTTGGGATGTCCCTAATGAAAAAATGAATAAGCTTTCATTTGGTTTGTCTAACCATAATATTTTGACAGACTTTCATTCCAAGATTTCAGTACTCAACAATCAAAGCAGTATCTGTCTATAGAACACACAAATTTTGCTTTTATTGTTATGATGTTGCCTCACTAGAACTACAAAGCATGATAAAATCAAACTTTTGAAGAAAGTTATAGAGCTCCACAAAAATTAGCCGCTATCACAGCTGAGTAGCAGGAAAATTAATTTTTTCCTGCTATTCTTTTTTAAAACCCACATAGGAATAATAAATGATCCAATAATTTTATCAGATTAAATACTCCAACCTACAATGCACCAACAGATAGAGGAATGCAATATGCATGTTGCATTGATTAGGAACTATCCCAGAAAATTATTGCATTCACACAAAGATGCATATAATAATATATATTGAAGAGACATTGTTAAAAGATTTGTGGACTTAGAACATCTTCTTCTTCTTCTTTTTCTTCAGCGTTTGTCTCGCGCTCGGGCGAGGTCCGCTAATGTCCTTGAGTACTGCTTCCACACCTCTCTGTCTGCCACGTGTGTCGGGTCTGCCTTCGCGATCTCTAGATCGGCCTTGATCGTGTCCATCCAGCGTTGTTTAGGTCTACCACGCGGTCTCGCTCCTCCGACAGTCACCTTCATTACAGATTTGATGATGGATTCTTCCTTGGCGCGGCTCACGTGGCCGAACCATCGTAGCCGGGACTGCCTCATGACCGTGGGGATGGGCACGACGTTGAACCGTCTACGCACTTCTTCGTTCCTGACGCGATCGAGTAGGGTGAGGCCTACCGACCATCGGAGCATTCGCATCTCCATTATCTGGAGTCTGCTTTCGACTTCTTTGGTCGTCGGCCAGCACTCTGCGCCGTATATGGCCACGGGGCGCACCACAGAGTTATAGATTTTCGCCTTCAGGCGCATCGGCATCTTCTTGTCACAGAGGACGCCCGTGACGGACTTCCATTTGCCCCACGCTGCATTGATCCTGGCTGCCACCTCAGTTTGTAGTAGGCCTTCTTCCCCAAGAGTAGTTCCCAGGTACTTGAAGGTGGAGGCGCGCGGTAGCTCCTGCCCGTTCACGTGGATGGAGCCTGTCATTTCATTGTCAGTGGTCAGGTATTCGGACTTCTTTAGGTTCAGCCGGAGCCCGAACTGCTCGAGGCGGTCGTGCCACTGTTGGACTCGGTGCTCTAGTTCAGCCTTGCACAGGTTGGCCAGGAACACATCATCGGCGTAGAGCAGCGTCCATGGGGCGGGCGTGTACAGGTCGTGTGTAATTGTGTCCATCACCAGAATGAACAGCAGTGGTGAGAGAGCAGAGCCCTGGTGTACGCCGACGGTAATATTAAACTCCTCTGATATCCCAGCTGCCGCTTTTGCACGGCTTTTGTGACATCTGTATAGGAGTTGGACCCATTGTACGAGCAGCTCAGGCACGCCGTGGTCTCGCAGTGCGTACCAGATGAGATCGTGCGGGACTCGGTCGAAGGCCTTTTCCAAGTCTAGGAAGGCGGTGTGGAGCGGGATTTTCTTCTCTCTGTGAGCCTCCATCAGCATCCGCACACCGAAGATGGCGTCGGTGGTGCCGCAGTACTTGATGAATCCAGCCTGGTTGACGCTGATGTCGACGGTGTCCCGAATGCGCTTATCAAGGACGCGTTCAAAGATCTTCATAGTGTGTGACAGTAACCTGACCGGTCTGTAGTTGGAGCAGTCCGCTGGGCTGCCCTTTCCCTTCCAGATCGGAACAGTGGTGCTGCGGTACCAGTCGTGTGGCACTTTTCCCGTGGAGACGATGTTGTTGAACAGCTCGCACAGCCACAATGCCGAGCCCGGTAGTGCCTTTTTCCAGAAGTCGGCAGGGATGTCGTCTGGTCCTGTTGCCTTACCGTTTTTCATGGCCTTGATGGCGTCGGCGACCTCGCTGGCATAAATGCCTGAGACTGGGCCTTCAACTGGGTCACCTCGCGGGGTTCGTGGGTGTGGGAACTCCTCGGTGGAGATCTTCTCGAAGATGGACTTAGAACATATAACATAGAATAACATAGTTGGAAGGGACCTTGGAGGCCTTCTAGTCCAACCCCCTGCCTAAGCAGGAAACCCTACACCACTTCAGACAAATGGTTATCCAACATCTTTTTAAAAACTTCCAGTGTTGGAGCATTCACAACTTCTGGAGGCAAGTTGTTCCACTGATTAATTGTTATAACTGTCAGGAAATTTCTCCTTAGTTCTAAGTTGCCTTTCTCCTTCATTAGTTTCTACCATTGCTTCTTGTCCTTAAGTACAGTTCCAGAAAGAGAAACAATATGGTGTCAGTAC